TTTTTTTCCCCCCCCCCAATGTTTTTTTTTTTTTTTTTTTTTTTTTTTTTAAGCTGATACTCCTCAGAAAGCTGATTGTGAGGGGTTAAAGGACACATAAAGAGTTCTGGGCTCGCTGGGCGTTGGTGGCGCACGCCTTTAATCCCAGCACTCGGGAGGCAGAGGCAGGCGGATCTCTGTGAGTTCGAGGCCAGCCTGGTCTCCAGAGCGAGTGCCAGGATAGGCTCCAAAGCTACAGAGAGAAACCCTGTCTCCAAAAACAAAAACAAACAACAACAAAAAAAGAGTTCTGGGCTCTCTAGAGTTGAGGATTATACCCTCATCTTCAATCCAAGAGAATAGGGTGCACAACTCAGCTGTGCTATCCCCTAGTGAGAATGCAGCAACTGGGGGATGACTCCTCCCCGCTCCAGCTAAGTAGGAAAAGGTATGAATTTCTGGTTCAGATGATTGGGTTTGAAGCTGATGTAGCACAGGCCAATGTGGCCCGTTTCTCTCTCTGCCTGTGTGGTCTCACTCTATTTGAGTTATCCATTGATAAATATCAACAGCCTCAAAGTAACTACTCAGTATTCTGTTTGGACAGCTATGTGTCAGAACTCAGCTCCGGGGTTTGGTTCAGAGGGCAGACTATTCTGCTGGAAGGTGTGCTGGCCTAGGGAGTTCTTGAGGTTTTGTTTTCACGCCTGAGGTTCAGTGGTTCTCCAGTGATCTCTGTTTGGCTGGCTTTGGGCTTTCTCCCAGCTTGGTGGCCTGAAGGTAGGGAAGACCTCACGAAAAGAGGGCATGTCAAGCCTCCAGGCTGACTTTGTCTTCTGAGAGTCCAGCCGTGGAAGTTACATAGTATCACTGTTACTCTCTTAGCTGGAACCGATTACAGAGGGGAAATAGACTGCCTAGCAGTGGGAGGAAAGACAAAGAATTTGCAGTCATCTTGACCCATCCCATGCCCTCAAAGAAATGTTGGGAGGATTTCTTTTTCTTGAGATATGAAAAACACTTAGCATGGCATTTGGCAAATTATGTCAAAATTTATGTTTCATGAGGGGGCAGTTATTGTGAGAGGAAGCATAAAAGAGCTGTTGCCTTGCAGGTATCGGGCTCTCTGACCGCAAATGAAGAATTTAGTCTGAATTCAGCCACAGCAGAGTTGAAAGCAAGGACTTAAGTGATACCATTACAGGTCTCTCAGCCTCCACCCACTATGTCCCTCTTATTTCTCAGTCCCTGTCCCCTTTGTCTGTTGTTTCAGCTTGCCTCATTCTCTCCCCTTGTACATTTTCTCTATATGACAGTTTTGGGCCTATATGCTTAGGAATGATGATTTTTTTCCTCTTAAAGGGGACTGGAGAGATGGTTCAGTGTTTAAGAGCACTTGTTGCTCTTCCAGAGGGCCCAGGGTCGGTTACCAGCACTCACACAGCATCTCACAACCATCCTTAACTCCAGCTCCAAAGGATGGGACTCCATCTTTGGCTCTGTAGGCACCAGACAGCCACATGGTGCCCAAACATACATATAGTAAAGCATGAATACATATAAAAAATAAATCTATTTTTAAAAGCCTCCTCAATTGTAGTCTCAAGGAAGACACTGACTAGTTCAGCCTGAACCAGTACCACTCACCAGGGAGACATACTACTATGACAGTTTGGCAGACTCCTAAGACCACAGGGAAAGGGGGAACAGAGTTCTTCAAATGGAGGCAGAGGGAGGGAACTTTGGGACAGACACTAATGGTGGCTGTGGAAGATGGAAGGGACATTTGTGGTTTCCTTCCTGTCTTTCTTCCACCAAAGGTCTGGGTTTCAGGGCAATATCACAGAGAATTTGAACTCAGAACCTCCTGACCGAAGCAGACTCTAACTTTTCGAGGAAGAGAGTAGAGATGGCCTTACGGGGCACACAGAGGAAAGGAAAGCTGAGAGGTATGGAGTTTATAGTCACAGATCTGCCTTCCCCAGAGCTCTGGGAGGGTGCTGCTACTGTGCCTCTCTTGTTCTCCCCCTCCCTTCTCCTGTCTTCCTCCCCCTTTCCCCTCCCCTCTCCTCCTTTCCCTTCTCCAGGGCAGACCCAAAGCCTGCTTCTGGCTCTGCCAGTCACCCAGGCTCAACCCAGCGGTTTTTTGTTTGTTTATTTGTTTGTTGTTTTTTCCTTCAATCTCTTGTACTTGTCAAATACACCACCAGAGGGCCTCAGAGTCCAACTTCTCATTGATCCAGACCTGCAGAAGAGCGTCTGGGGAATTCAAACACAGGAAGCCCCAGTGGTAGGACTAAAAGGAAACCGAGAGACCCACGGACAGCTTGGGTCAAGCCGCTAGGTTTTCAGGCTGTCTGGGACCTCTAGGTTGACCAGATCTAGGACTGGGACTCCAATCTATGTCTCTATGACTGTCTGGTTCTGGTAGAGTTTTCGTTCTAAGATCAGATGAGTGATACGGATGTTAAGTATTTTCCTCTGTGATGCCAGAAAAGCAGGCTGAGGCAAATGATATGAACCAACACCACTCCAAGCAGGTCAAAAAGAAGGTAAGACGGAGTTTAAAAACAAAAGGCCTGATCGAGTCAGCTAAGCAGCTAAATGGCTACCCTGTCTGTGCCTCAGTAATCCCATCACAAAATTGGGCTGGCTGAGAGCTTCTTGGCACATGATGGGAGTACAGGGCATAATGCAGTCTTTTGGGGGGAGGGGTGTTTCGAGACAAGGTTTCTCTGTATAGCCTTGGCTGTCCTGAAACTAGCTCTGTAGATCAGGCTGGCCTCGAACTCAGAGATCTGCCTGCCTCTGCCTCCCAAGTGCTGGGATTAAAGGTGTGCGAGCCACCATGCCCAGCTCTACTGCAGTCTAAGTTGCTAGTCACATAGCAGCGATCCACCTTCTAAGACCAAGTCCTACAAGGGTCTGGGAACTCTCCACCTTAAGGATGCTGAACAGGAGGCATGGTTAGAGGTCACAAGCCTAGTCCTCTGCAATCACAGAGATGGCTCTGAGCTCTTGCACTGCTGCCTGAGGATGGGGTGAGAGACAGAGCCCCCCTGACTTCCCCTCCCCTAGCTCACCCAGCTGCTCTGCCCCAGGCACTGGCAAGGTCCCCTGCTGGCTGAGGGATAGGGGACGTGTGGAACTTTGGCAAAGGGGAAGAGCACAGAGGCACCCAGATGCATGTGTGACCGAATCAGGAAAAGGCAGACATAGGCAGATGGTTTAGAAGGTTGAGTGGAAGGCCTAGAATCTGAGTCTGAGGCCAAGGGCTCCCAGCTCATCTCTCTTTCCCTCTGAGATCCCACCATTAGGAATCTGGAGACTTGGAAGCAGTGAGCCACTTCCCCTTACCTTGCTGGGAGTCAGGGACAACAGGATGGAGGGTCCCTTATCCATCTAGAGATCTTCCCTCTCTCTTCACCAACACCAACTTCTCCAGCTGAGCATCAAGACAGAGCAGGACTAGACTGGGCTAGGCTGGTGCTGTGAGGGTCCCACCTGTTCTCACCCTGTGCCTTCCCCAGCCCTCCCTCCGTGAGACCTCCCCCAGAGCTGCCACAGCTGGCACCATGCTCTGGCTGCCTTTCATCCTCCTAGCTCCCCACCCCCACCCCCAGTGGCTTTTGTAATTGTGGTCTCTGGCAGGCGGCTGCTGGGGCTGGGGCTGGGCTGAAGGCCAGGTCGCAGGGCAGGTCTGGGGTGGAGACTGGGGGCTGCTGGTGCTGGTAGAGGCTTGGCTACAGCATGGGTCATCCAGGTTAGGGTCCCAGACGCACTTTGGGCTTCATCTACACATAGGCCAAAGTCTGTCACTTACACACGTGGGCATTACTAGGCCTCATGATCGCAGGCCAGACCCAGGATGAGGTATAGGCTACGGGCGTCAGCATTTGCCTTCTAGCATCTCCAAAGTGGGGCATGGGGGTGGGGGGAGCCTTCTTTCTCCCCTTGCTCTTCTGTGTTTCATGGGTCCTGTAGCTGAGACCCTTCCTCTCCCTCCTCGGACAGAGGCCAAAAGGAGAAACAGCCAGCTGCCCTGCCAGGCCAACAGCATTTCCAAAGATAATCTCCCCTAAACATTTGGGAGATGGTTATGAATGCAGATCCCCAGGCCTTGTGCCCGGGAAAGACTGATTCAGTACCTTGGGGCCTAGACTCAATTCCCCACAATAGCCTACTTCAAGTGTGGGAAACAGTGAGGTGAACCCTGGATGGGATGCAAGGAGGTGTGCATCTTGAATATGGCCTCATTGCCTAGGTGGGGTGGGGTCTATTCCAGATCTATTCTGGGCCTCCGTTTTCCCCAGCAGCCAATGGGAACTTACTTCTCCAGCCTGCAGATGCCCACCCAGGAGTTGTACCTCCTTCCTGTGCTGAATCAAGCCCAACAGCAGCGTCAGGTGATGGGTTTGTTCCTGTAGCACCATGGTGGGAGAGATTTGGGAGGGTAGGGGGTGGCTAGGGTCAAACAAGGCTCTGGTGACACAGGCTGCTTCCTGCCCCCGGCTGTTTTCCTGCTGTCCAGCCAGACTGCTCCTTCATTGTCCCACCCCAACCCCCAGCAGCCCCAAGCTCTTAATTCCTGACAGCTGCGATGGCTGCCGGCAGAGATGGGGGTGTGTGTGTCATGAGCATGCTGCTGTTCAGGCCGCCCCCACCACCTGACAGTCTGGGGGCAAGAAAGGCACCTCCCCTCCAATTCTCCAAGGATGGTCAGTTCCTGGAATGGGCCCCCTTTGTCTCTGAGCCCAGAGGCAATGACAGTTCTCTTCTTAAGTCAGGAGGGCCTCTCTTCAGAGAGAGGGGGGCATGGATTGTGAGGGATGTGGGGTGCAGAATAGGAGACCACAGTGAAGACACAGCAGGGGTCAGATGCACTGTCCTGACCCAGGTCTGAATCAGAACAAGAAGCCAGGGCCAGCGGTTCCCAGGTCCTTATCTAGTCACAGACACATGCCCTATACTGAGCAGAGGACCAGTGTTCAACCAGAGGTGTTAGAGAAGGAAGGGACCCTGGAGGACTATTCAGACAGGCCCTGTAGGACCAGTGCCAGGACCAAGGCACGTCTCAACGCATCCCTGGGCAACAGCAAGCTGCTCTTGGGGTAGAGGAGTCAGAAGAACTAAATTCACTTTGGCTCTTTGGCTAATATGCTGTTTGACCTTACATAAGTTGTGGCCCTCTCTGAGCCTCACCCCCCTATTTTTTTTTGAAAATAAAAAAAAAAAAAAAAAGGTGGGGGTGGGGTGGTGAATACAGTGTTCTGACTTCCCACTTCTGAATTAGAAGGCTCTCTAATCCCTGTTCCCAGATAGAACCATCCCAAGTCACCTAGGTCCCAACAAGCATTTACTGGAGTCCTGACCCCTTTGCCTTCCGTAGCTCACTGACTAGATAAAGTGGGCCGAATTGCTCATTTCATAAAGGGACAGAAGGTGACTCCAGGAATGCCTTTGGGCATTCAGGAGGGCAAAGCAGGGCCAAAGCCAGAGGTGGCCAGATCCCTTCTGGGGTCCTCCACACACACCTGACTCCAGGCAAGCTGGGGGGAAGTCCCTCTAGAGGCAGGGAAGGCAAAACGGAGGGGCTGGCCTCTCCCCTCCTGCCCCGCAGGTGTGTACTGGGGTGGGGTGGGACATTCTCCTGCAGCTGTGTTTCAACTTCAGTGAGGCACACACACCCCGGGTTAACACACAGAGCAGCACCCGACATCTCTGGGTGCAGGGTGCCAAGAGTCAAGACGCCAGTACCTCTCCTCCCTTCCCTTTCTGCACGCTCCCTCCCACCCCCCAACACACACGGCCTGCCAGTCCTAAGCGGACTCAGTGGTCCTAGGGAGGCGAGCATGCCATCCCCTGTCGTGACGTCACTTGAGGTAGAACCCTTAGACACTACATGGTGTGTGTGTGTGTGTGGGGGGAGCTGCACTCCCCGAGCCAGGACAGTCACTCACT